CTTAATCTTATCTAACTTAGTCGCGTTACAACAATTAGCACATTAAAACTAGATATAGAACGGTTATAAAAGCTGTTTCTGTACTGTATGTCGCCACCACAAGCAGGGAGATAGCCGACCCGCTCCGGCCACACCCTTGTAGATGTTTTAATAAATGTATTGATAATAGGTAGGCAGAGGTACATGTAGCCACAGTTCATGAGATTGCCACTTTCTAAGCCACATGCACTGTCCCTAAAAAGCGCTAACACTTATTTAGTAAGCGCCTTTCTAAGCGGCTGTGCGCTTAGGTATAACTAAAGTGCAGGAACTAGAAGCCGATACTAGTCACTACTGTATACGCTTATTTTGTCGCTTGTAACATCTAAGACGCGAAAACAGAAGAGATTTAATGTTCCATCTCCGTCATCATACGTGATAGACTCACGTGATAGCGCTCGGGCTATAAGCGCATCCTAAGACCTTTATGCATCCTCCTCGCAAAGCCTGCCTAGCGGTAACTGTCTAATAACTTGCATAAACAGATCTGTAGGCACTTAATTAATCTTAGCCTTTAAATCTTGCTTTTCTTAGTATAGTACAAGTTTTTATTTAGTCGCTTACAATCTTCTTCTAGATTACTACCTAGTAAGGCTTTAAAGACTTGTAGGCAGCTAAAAATAGATAGGCTAAAAAAGAGTCCCCTCTTTTTAGAGTTAGGCTTATCTCTACCTTAAGCTACAAGCTTGCTTTATTCCTCTCTACCCTTCCTATTACTATTACTATTTCTATAGTAACTAACTAAAGCTAACATAGACTAAGCAAGCTAAGTGCTGGCACAAGGCATTTCTCATAGCGTACGCAATACATACCGCGCCCTAGTAGAACATTACAACGCCGCTCGCTCTACCCTCTATAATCGCGCACATGGCAAACGCTTAAAAGAAGAGAAGGGCTAGAGCTAACAGTATCTTACCTTGTATAAGGAAAAAGCTATTATATACTTTTTATTATAAATAGCTAAATTTAAATAACCTGTGTAAATAAAGCATATACCTTTCTTAGCCTTTAGCGTTGCTTGCTAGCAATCTACAAACAAACTAGCTAAGCCTCTAGGCAAGATCTAGGCTTAGGCTTTTAAGACACGCTATACAGAACTAAAAGCAAGAAAAAGTACAGCGCTAGACTAGAATTGCTATAATATCTATAATAAGGTTGTGTACTAGTTTAATATAATTAGATAAGTGCTGCAGGATTAGACTATCTTAATAGAAAATGTCTATAACATAGACAAGACAGGGGTGATGTTAAGTGTGCTTAGTAGTGTTAAGTTCCTTAATAGTAAGAATAACCTATAAAGCTATTAAAGCGCGCTTGTAAAGCATATAGTAGTAACTACAATTAAATGTGTTAGCGCTAACAGTAGGTATCTAGACCTAATAATAATCTAGCTAGCCTTATTCTATTAAGCTAACTAGACTATGTATCCTAATCCTAGATAGCATTATGTATACTCTAAATCTAGATATACTAACTCTAAAATTAGCTTAGAGTAGCTTAAGCGTGTATTTAATCTTTAAACTAAAGAACAGGCTAACTAAAAAGTATAGATTCTAATATATAACAGCTTTAGAACGTATAAAAACTTTAAAATCCTAGAATTTTGTTTTAAGAACAGCATTTTATTATGCTATTTTCTCTTTTATACATCCTATAAGCTATAGCTTTGTGATATTGCTGTGTTTACTTTACTAAAAGAAGCTTATTGTAACTAGATTAAACAGCTAGAGTAAGAAGGGATAAGAATAATTAGTAAGCAAGATTTTACCTATTTATACAGCCCTGTAAGAGAAAGAGCTTTTATTAAGAGAAACATCTTTACAGGATAGAAAGTGAGCAGCTTGTATCTCTTTAATCCTAAAAAAATACTTGTAGATATCCTAAAGCTATCGTCTAAACAGACAGCTACTAAACTAACTATTTCTACTCTTAGAACCTATAAGATTAATGTTTATCTACAAGATAAAGTAGTCTAAATGCTAGTAACACTAGGGGATCTTACATTGTTGCATAACCTAATTAAACAGGATGTCTATGCAGAAGATAAGATAAGCAAACAGCGCCTATAAAGGCACATATAAAAATTTGCTAATGCTGCCTAAACATGCTTTACTAAGCGTGCCCTTTAGCAGGAACAAATTTACTTTCTAAGGAAAGTAAATAATAAAGCTAAAGTTTGCTAATCTACTAGATTACTAGTAATAAGAACAGCAAAGGTTATAAGCTATAAGAATCTTAAGAAGGCACAAAAGAAGCTTGCTAAGAAGGATGTAGCTAAAGCGTAGAGTAAAGGAAAACGTGGTTAGAAGCGCAAGAGTGCTGCATTAGAGACAGATGCGATAGATCTAAAGGTTAAAGTAGCACAGATAAGCGAAGCGCTCGAGCTAGTGAGGACTCTAGTGCTGTCTGTACAGGCTGTCCTAATAGCACGAATGTATTAAGATTATCGCAGCCTTTCTCTTCTACATTTTGTATTGTATTAACGTACTTCATGGGCGAGTCGCTCACACACCCGAGTCGCTTACTTTTGCCAAGACCCCACCCCAACAAACTCTATTATGGCCCATAACAACCTGCTCTGGCACTATATAGTACAGTACAGCCTAGAATATTATTTAGATACTACTTCTGCTTCTTGCTTACACGTTTGCGCGTTATGCCCAGTCTAATTGCACTGTCCGCAGCGCCTTTAGGATAGCTTACCTACTTTAGCTTGCACCTGCTTCTTTGCCTTCTTTCTATTACTGCGCGCTTTAAATTCCTTTAGAGCTGTTAAGCACAGGCCTTTCTAAATTATTAAGGTTCTTTCTGCCTTAATCTACTTTCTTTTATGTAATTTATGTTATGTAGCAGCCTTATTAGCTGCTTAAAGCTTAGTAATTTCCTATTACACTAACACTAGCTTATGTGTAATTATTACTGCCCCTTTTAAGACTTTTTTAAACACCTTAACTATAGAAGTTAGTAAACTATTTATATGCTTTTAAATTTTTATCTTTATAAGCATTAATTACAACCTAAGTTCTAAAGTATTACTTAGGGTTTACAACTGCTAGGGCTTATTATATATTAGTAGTAGTAGTAATAGAGTGCGCAACTTTACATTAAGGCCTATTATAACCTATTATAGGTTAAAAGGAACTAATCTAGCGCCTTAGAACCCTTCTTAGATATTACTAGAAGTAATTATAGCATTATAAGCTACTTTAAAGGATAGTAGAAACTTTATTTTTATAATATAAGTAATCTAGTTACACATAAGGTTTTTAGCTTAACACTTATACGCCTTCTTTAAAGGAGCAAAACAACCTACATTAAGTAGCTATAAGAGGTGCAATAAGTAAAAAGGTATGTAAATAGTAATAATTTTATTATCTTTAGAGTATTACTAGAAATAAAGCAAGTTATAGCTTTTATAGCTGTTAATAACTAGCAGACAGTAGCTGCTAACAGTACGCTTCTTTATATGCGCGTTAAAGTGATTTAACTAGTTTAGACTAAGCTAATTAGTAGTCTAGCTGCGCTTAGAGATTGCAATAACTTAATCCTAGAGTAGATTTTCCTTTTTATACTAGTTTAAAAGGTAGTTGCTACTCTAAAAGATAATAAAAAGTAAAATAGCCTACCCTTTAGCATTAATGCCCTAGATAGCTGTTGTCCACTTCTAGTTGCCTAGCTAGACTGCTTTTAGCTGTTCTTATCTCTCTAAACCTATAACAACTGCTCTAGTAGATATCTAGCCTATTATAAACCCTGTCTTGTTAAAGTTGTACATGTTGTTATTCTAGATGCTATACTTAGCTTTAATATTCTTTATAAGGTTAAACTAGCCTTAAATTACTGCAGGATCTTTATAAAAGGCTCTCTTATAGTTATACTTACACTTAAACTTTACTTTAAGCTTTAAGTAACGCTTAATAAATATATTAGGCTAGTTTATGCTAACATAGCCTATATTATGCTTAGCGCGTAAAGAATTAGCTATATTAGCCACAGCTGCTAGCTAGGGGGGAAATCCTCGCGCATCTAGCTTAAGTATGTGCTAAATAATTACCTGCTTCTTATTATTATCTAGCTTTTATAAGTTAGCTATATAATTAGCTTAGAAAGGTTGTCTAGCGCGTTAGTTACTTATTATCTTTTAAAAGACCCTATAGATAGCTGCAGCGCGTTAGTTAAAAAGTGTTGCGTTTTATTTAAGAGCCTAAAGTGTAAGCTACATCTAACATTCTTTTAACGCGTTTAAGTAGTGTTGTTAGAAATGCATTAGTGTAGGAAGAGTAGTGTAGTAGAGTCTTAGCAAAAGTAAGCGACTTAGGTGTGTAAGCAACTCGCCCATGAAGTACGTTAATTGCCCACCTGTAATTCTTTATCCTCTCTTTAATAGTAATTTCTTAAAAAAGACAAAATAGTTAGCTTTAAAGCTAACATTAATTATTTCTAACATATTATTATTAAAGAGTATTGAT